TATTCTGTCTAAAACGCCACCAACAACAGAACCATCATCTATCTATTATTACTATATATCGGCCATGTCCATGTATTATATCTGTCTAAAACGCCGCCAACAACAGAACCATCATATAACTATTATTACCATATATCGGCCACGTCCATGTATTATATTGTCTAAAACGCTGCCAACAACAGAACCATCATCTATCTATTATTACTTTATTTCGGCCACGTCCATGTATTATATTGTCTAAAACGCCGCCAACAACAGAACCATCATCTATCTATTATTACTATATATCGGCATCGTCCATGTAATATATGTCTAAAACGCCGCAAACAACAGAACCATAATCTATATATTATGTCTATACATCGACCATGTCCATGTATTATAGCTGTCTAAAACGCCGCCAACAACGGAACCATCATCTATATATTATAACTATATATCGGCCATGTCCATTTATTATATCTGTCTAAAACGCCGCAAACAACAGAACCATAATCTATATATTATGTCTATACATCGACCATGTCCATGTATTATAGCTGTCTAAAACGCCGCCAACAACGGAACCATCATCTATATATTATAACTATATATCGGCCATGTCCATTTATTATATCTGTCTAAAACACCGCCAACAACAGAACCATCATCTATATATTATGTCTATATATCGGCCATGTACAAGTATTATGCCTGTCTAAAACGCCGCAAACAACAGAACCATCATCTATATATTATGTCTATATATCGGCCATGTACAAGTATTAAATCTGTCTAAAACGCCACTAACAACACAACCATCATATATCTATTATTACTATATATCGGCCATGTCCATGTATTATATGTCTAAAACGCCGCCAACAACAGAACCATTATATATCTATTATTACTATATATCGGCCACGTCCATGCATCATATCTGTTCAAAACGCCCCCAACAACAGAACCATCATATATATTATTACTATATATCGGCCACTTCTATGTATTATATTGTCTAAAACGCCGCCAACAACAGAACCATCATCTATCTATTATTACTATATTTCGGCCACTTTCATGTATTATATCTGTCTAAAACGCCGCCAACAACGGAACCATCATCTTTCTATTATTACTATATATCGGCCACGTCACGTATTATATCTGTCTAAAACGCAGCAAACACCAGATATAATACATGGACTTGGCCGATATATAGTAATAATAGAGAGATGATTGTTCTGTTGTTGGCGGCGTTTTAAACAGATATAATACAAGGACATGGCCGATATATAATAACAATTATAATAGATATATGATGGTTCTGTTGTTGGCGGCGTTTTAGACAGATATAATTCATGGACATGGCCGATATATAGTATAGTATTCTGTCTAAAACGCCACCAACAACAGAACCATCATCTATCTATTATTACTATATATCGGCCATGTCCATGTATTATATCTGTCTAAAACGCTGCCAACAACAGAACCATAATATATCTAATATTACTATATATCGGCCACGTCCATGCATTATATCTGTCTAAAACTCCCCCAACAACAGAACCATCATCTTTCTATTATTACTATATATCGGCCACGTCACGTATTATATCTGTCTAAAACGCAGCAAACACCAGATATAATACATGGACTTGGCCGATATATAGTAATAATAGAGAGATGATTGTTCTGTTGTTGGCGGCGTTTTAAACAGATATAATACAAGGACATGGCCGATATATAATAACAATTATAATAGATATATGATGGTTCTGTTGTTGGCGGCGTTTTAGACAGATATAATTCATGGACATGGCCGATATATAGTATAGTATTCTGTCTAAAACGCCACCAACAACAGAACCATCATCTATCTATTATTACTATATATCGGCCATGTCCATGTATTATATCTGTCTAAAACGCTGCCAACAACAGAACCATAATATATCTAATATTACTATATATCGGCCACGTCCATGCATTATATCTGTCTAAAACTCCCCCAACAACAGAACCATCATATATCTATTACTATATATCGGCCATGTCCATATATAATATCTGTCTAAAACGCCGCCAACAACAGAACCATCATCTATCTATTATTACTATATATCGGCATCGTCCATGTATTATATCTGTCTAAACCGCCGCAAACAACAGAACCATAATCTATATATTATGTCTATAGATCGACCATGTCCATGTATTATAGCTGTCTAAAACGCCGCCAACAACGGAACCATCATCTATGTATTATAACTATATATCGACCATGTCCATGTATTATATCTGTCTAAAACGCCGCCAACAACAGATCCATCATATATCTATTTTTACTATATATCGGCCATGTCCATGTATTATATCTGTCTAAAACGCCGCCAACAACAGAACCATCATCTATATATTGTCTATATATCGGCCATGTACAAGTATTATGCCTGTCTAAAACGCCGCAAACAACAGAACAATCATCTATATATTATGTCTATATATCGGCCATATACAAGTATTAAATCTGTCTAAAACGCCACTAACAACACAACCATCATCTATCTATTATTACTATATATCGGCCATGTCCATGTATTATATCTGTCTAAAACGCCGCCAACAACAGAACCATTATATATCTATTATTACTATATATCGGCCACGTCCATGCATTATATCTGTTCAAAACGCCCCCAACAACAGAACCATCATATATCTATTATTACTATATATCGGCCATGTTCATATATTATATCTGTCAAAAACGCCGCCAACAACAGAACCATCACCTATCTATTATTACTATATATCGGCCACTTCCATGTATTATATCTGTCTAAAACGCCGCCAACAACAGAACCATCATCTATATATTATGTCTATATATCGGCCATGTACAAGTATTATATCTGTCTAAAACGCCGCCAACAACAGAACCATCATCTATCTATTATTACTATATATCGGCCACTTCCATGTATTATATTGTCTAAAACGCCGCCAACAACAGAACCATCATCTATCTATTATTACTATATTTCGGCCACTTTCATGTATTATATTGTCTAAAACGCCGCCAACAACAGAACCATCATATATCTAATATTACTATATATCGGCCATATCCATGTAATATATCTGTCTAAAACGCCGCCAACAACATAACCATCATCTATCTATTATTACTATATTTCGGCCACTTTCATGTATTATATTGTCTAAAACGCCGCCAACAACAGAACCATCATATATCTAATATTACTATATATCGGCCATATCCATGTATTATATCTGTCTAAAACGCCGCCAACAACAGAACCATCATCTTTCTATTATTACTATATATCGGCCATGTCCATGTATCATATCTGTCTAAAACGCCGCCCATCATCTGTCTATTATTACTATATTTCAGCATCCTCCATGTATTATATGTCTAAAACGCCGCCAACAACAGAACCATTATCTGTCTAAAACGCCGCCAACAACAGATCCATCATATATCTATTATTACTATATATTGGCCATGTCATGTATTGTCTGTCTAAAACGCCGCCAACAACAGAACCATCATATATCCATTATTACTATATATCGGCCATGTCCATGTATTAAATTGTCTAAAACGCCGCCAACAACGGAACCATCATATATATTACTATATATCGGCCATGTCCATGTATTAAATCTGTCTAAAACGCCGCTAACAACAGAACCATCATCTATCTATTATTACTATATATCGGCTACTTCCATGTATTATATTGTCTAAAACGCCGCCAACAATAAAACCATCATATATCTATTATTACTATATATCGGCCACGTCCATGTATTATATTGTCTAAAACGCCGCCAACAACAGAACCATCATCTATATATTATGTTTATATATCGGCCATGTCCATGTATTATAGCTTTCGTGACTGCAGGAATTCATATTCTTTGGTTCTTTCGGTAAAGTCACGTAGGTAGAAAAAATATAATAGATCACGACGTTTCGATCGCAACACAAGCGACCATCTTCAGGTGTGAAACAAACACAGGCGGACTGCTGACGTAGGAGAAAGAGCCGCTGCAACAAGAGGTTATATAGGATATTGGTGGGCCCAACCCACTGATAAGTGGGTGGAGCTAGAGAAGGAATTTGTACCTAAATGTAAATGTGGGAGATTAGCATGTCAACGTGAGATGGCCCAATGTCAGAGAGCCGGGCAACAGGAACAAAAACCCCTAAGAGCAAGAGGTACACATGATGAGAGACACACAGAGAGTCGGAATAACAGCTGACATAGGCTGGTAGGAGGGAAAGATCACAGTCAGTTAAGAATTTACTTGGTTAATAAAGTCCTTCCAATGATTGCTCAGTTTGTACCCATCTTCTCGGTTGAAGTTGTCTGTGTTTATATATCTGGATGGCTTCATGAGCAAATCTCTGAAGGTAGCCGGTAGGTTTGCAGAGTAACTCCGTATTGGAAAAATATATTTCGTGTGAGCCCACAGCGTTAAAACAATGATCGGCAATGGCAGAGGTATTGGTCCTACCGTGTTTCAGATCTGCCTTGTGTTCACGAACACGGTCCGAGACATGTCATTTCGTTTCCCCAATGTAACTGCTGCCGCAACCATAACTCCGTTTCTAGACAACAGGGTATTGCATGTCAGGAATCACATCCTTTACAGATGGGATTAAATCACACACACAAACTGACACACACTGACACACACAGAGGATTCATAATGGTTGTCTCTCTCTCTCTCAGGGGATTCATAATAGCGCTCTCTCTCTTTCTCAATGGATTCATAATGGCTGTGTCTCTCTGGGGATTTGCAATGGTTAAGACGGAGACATCGAGATGCTGGGTTTCCAGCTCTGGGTCCATGTGTATCAGCATCTCCTTTGGCCGCGCGTCTCTTCAAGGAGGGTCCTGGCGGCATGGCCTCGCAGAGACAATCAGAACACCCAAGGCAACGAAATCAACAGGACGCAGCAAACAAAGACAGCCTGGTCAAGATGGGGAAGCGTTTTAATGTTTGCATTCACGCTCTCGAGCATCCCGGCGGAAGCGGCGAGAAGAAGCGATTCACGGACCGCCCTTAAAAGCTGGGGGTTATGATCAAGCGCTTGGAGCCAACGGAGAAAAACAAAAAACCGGGGGTCCAAATTGGTCAACGGTGGCTTCCCCTAATACAGGTTTTGTATTTATTTTGGTGTTAGATCCCTTATCAGTGACTACACTCAGACCTGTCAACCCCTTATCAGTGACTACACTCAGACCTGTCAACCCCCTATCAATGCCTACACCCAGACCTAACAATCTCTAATCAATGGCTACACCCAGACCTGTCAACCCCTTATCAGTGCCTACACCCAGACCTGTCAATCTCTAATCAATGCCTACACCCAGACCTGTCAATCTCTAATCAATGCCTACACCCAGACCTGTCAACCCCTTATCAGTGCCTACACCCAGACCTGTAAATCTCTAATCAATGCCTACACCCAGACCTGTCAATCTCTAATCAATGCCTACACCCAGACCTGTCAACCCCTTATCAGTGCCTACACCCAGACCTGTCAATCTATAATCAATGCCTACACCCAGACTGTCAATCTCTAATCAATGCCTACACCCAGATCTGTCAATCTCTAATCAATGCCTAAACCCTGACCTGTCAACCCCTTATCAGTGCCTACACCCAGACCTGTCAATCCCTATTCAGTGCCTACACCCAGACCTGTCAACCCCTAATCATACAAACTCCACTCACTCTCACTGTAGAATAGGGGGAGATAGAACAGGGGGAGATTATACAAATTATCAGACAAGCTACTTCACGTGACTTTCAGCCACGGATTATTCAATGCGCATAACTGTAGTTTGCGGCTACATGAACCAACTGTTCGATCAATAAAACACAGACACAAGACCGTGTATTATTAGGCCCACCCTAGACTTACTGGACGTGTGCGACCCACTCGGCCCAAACTCAGTCCGCTGGTCGTCTGGACCTTCATTGGTGTCTACGCCTTGGTAATTGAGACGTTAACTACCTTACCTGATATACAGGAGGTCGTGGTTGTAATTACTGGTAAAAGCATCTCAGTGTCTTGGGGTTCCCTCCCAGTTTCTTGCGTTTCTCTCCCGGCTTCCAGAGGGGCTCTGCGTCGTTCTGCTGGGCTCGCCCCGCATCGCCTCCTTCACCCGCGCGGGCAGCGACTCGAAGAGCTCTTCCTCCACCACCAGCCCCCCGCGCCTCAGCTCCGCGCACTCCCCCAGCTCGGCCGGCAGCTCCGTCAGCCGGTTCCCCACCAGCTCCAACCTGCGCAGCCTCCTCAGCCTCCCCACCAGGCCGCTGAGTTCGCACAGCTCGTTGTTGGCGAGCGCCAGCGTCCGCAATCCCTCGCACCGGAACAACTCATCGGGCAGACGCCGCAGGGCGTTGCCCGACAGAAGGAGGGTGCTCAGCTGAGTCAGCAGCCACACGTCGGGCGGCAGGGCAGCGATGGCGTTGCGGCTCAGGTCGAGGACGCGCAGGCCGTGCAGGCGGAGCAGCCCCGCGGGCAGCTCGCCCTCGATGAGATTCCCGTCGAGGAAGAGCGAGCGCAGGGCCGGCGACCCCGCCCCCGCCGCGAACCGTGGGACGCTCACGAGGGCGTTGTCCGAAAGGCGCAGGACGGCGAGGCGCTCCCAGGCGGCCGCCGGCAGCGACGCGTCATCGCCGTCGCCCAGCGAGCGGAGGCCGTTGCGGGACAGGTCGAGGTCGCTCAAGCGTCCCAGCGCCAGCAGGGGCCGCGGAAGCTCGGCGGGCTCCAGGCCGCAGCGCGTCAGCCGCAGCGTCTCCAAGCCGCGCAGCTTGCTCAGGGGCGCCGGCGACTCGAGGCGCACGCCGCCGTTGTCGAGGGCGAACGCGCGCAGGCCGCCGCCAGCGACGGCGGCCAGGCCGGGCGGGAGGCGGGCGACGCTTGTCGTCAGGCGCAGGCCCCGCAGGCGCCTGAGGCCGCCCAGCGGCTTAAGGAGCGCGGGCGTCAGGGGCCCCTCCAGGGACAGCTCCTCCAGGTGGCGCATTTCACGCAGCCAGCCCGGGACCTCCGCCTTGACCGCAAACTTCACCTGCAAGAGGGCGCGGGGGGGGCGGACGCCGCGAACGGCAACGGTGAATATCGGTCCCCGACACTGCGACTTAAATACATTTGGTGGGGGAGGTGACTTTTTGGTGATGTCACGGCCGGGTCAGTGGAGCCGAATGGACCGCTCCGACCGACCCACCCTCGCGCCCGCCCGCCCATCCACCCACCCACGCACCTCCAACTGGTGCAGCTCCTCGCTGAGGAAGGCGAGTGCGCGATTGTCGACGCTCACGGTGCAGTTCAGCAGCCGGAGTTGGTGCAGGTTCACCAACTGCACCACCGCCGCCCCCAGCGCCACCCCGTGCATCGAGTCCAGCGTCAGCACCTTCGGTGGGGGATTGGGTATGAGGGTGAGTGAGTTGGTGGGTGAGTGGGTGTGTGGGTCAGTGGGTATGTGGGTGAGTTGGTTGGGCGAGTGGGTGAGTTGGTAGACGAGTGGATGTGTGGGTGAGTGAGTTGGTGGGTGAGTGGGTGTGTGAGTTGGTGGGTGTATGGGTGAGTGGATGGGTGTGTGGGTGAGTGGGTTAGTGAGTGAGTGGGTGTGTGGGTGGGTGTGTGCGTGGGTGGGTGTGTTGGCGAGTGAGTGGGTGAGTGAGCAAGTGGGTGGGTGTGTGCGCGAGTGGTTGGGTGGGTGTGTGGGTGAGTTGGTGGGTAAGTGGGTGTCTGGATGAGTGGGTGGGTGTGTGGGTGAGTTAGTGGGTCAGTGGGTGTGTGAGTTGGTGGGTGTATGGGTGAGTGGGTGGGTGTGTGGGTGAGTGGGTTGGTGAGTGAGTGAGTGGGTGTGTGGGTGGGTGTGTGCATGGGTGGGTGTGTTGGCAAGCGAGTGGGTGAGTGAGCAAGTGGGTGGGTGTGTGCGAGAGTGGTTGGGTGGGTGTGTGGGCGAGTTGGTGGGTAAGTGGGTGTCTAGGTGAGTGAATTGGTGGGTGAGTGAGCAGGTGGGTGGGTGGGTGGGTGCATGGGTGTGTCCACGGGCACCTGTATCTGAGTGAGGCGGTATGTGTCCACTGGCACCGCTGCCAGCTTGCAGAGGCGTAGCTCGCTCTCGCCCTGCGCGTTGATCTCCAGTAGCCCCGTCAGATGCGACAGGGTCCACGCTTGATCCACGTTGACCTGCCTCAGCTTATTTTCGCTCACCTGCAGCAGCAGCAACAGCACCAGCAGCCAAGCGTGGATGGATTTTATTTGTTTCAGCAGCGAGGGCCCAATGAGCCGTACCGCCCCATGTTATACATATGTAGTGAGCAGCTTCCGAGACACATCGCGTAGAGGCCTTCTTATTTATTCTCACACTGGACGATACGTATATGTAAACATCTCTACGTAGCTACACAACCCCATCGTCGGCGTCCAACTACACAGTTACTTGACTTAGCGCAGCCAGGACTCAGGACCCCCTCATGTACACCCCGGTGCGGCCAAGCCCCGCCTCCGGCCACGTCCCCTTCCAGAATCTTCAAGCAGGTTCCCGGAGCTTGCGGTCTGACTCAGCCTTTGACCTTTACTACCGATACGCCCCCCCCCTTATAATTAGTCATTACATAACTTGCCCATAACTATAATTACCCCTCCAGGCCGACAGGTGGCACCCTGTCATTACACATAGACTAACACGGCCCATAGACTCAGACAGAGACCCAAAGACTCAACATCCCCCCGTATAGCCTCGATGGACTGTTGGGGCAAGTGCTGTTAGCGAGCACCGATGCAGGCCAGGCCAGAACGGCACACGAGGGGGTGGGTGGCCAGCACCACGCTCACCACACAGAGACCCACAGTTTGTTGTCCTAACCCCGCATCTCAGATCAGCGCGGTCGGCTCCGTCCAGTGTACGGCGTGCGTGCAGCGCACAGCGTGCTCTGCGAGCGGCTTCTCCTCACCTCGGACAGGAAGACGGAGAACTTGGATGCGTAGCAGGGGTCGTACTTGTCCACTAGGTGCAGGAGGAAGGCGAAGTCGTTGCGCACATCCGGAATGTCGTCCACCCCCGTCTCCTGGCGCGTCTCCGCGAAGCTGTACTCCTTGAGCCTGCAGTGTCAGCGCCCCCCCCACCCCCCAGCACAGAGAACTCAGTGCCCGTCGACCCTTGTCCCGACGCGGAAGATCTCCCACGAAGCCAATAGTAAAACGTTACGTTTAGATCTTTGTTGCAGTGTCGCCGTCCGCGCTAACCGCGTCTCCACGATCGCCGAAAAGCCCGTAGGCCAAAGCCAGAAGGCTGCCAGACGGCGATCCGGTGCCACACAACCGCTCTGCGGCAGCACCGCCGCCCCCCCCCCTCTCACCTGCAGGTCACCACCCAGTAGACGACGTAGGCACAGGTGAGCGCGTAAACACACATCGTGGTCGCGTAGGCCATCCACATCATGCGGAAGATGCGCCACAGCCCGTGGACGCAGTAGAAGTTCCCGTAGCCCGTGATGTACTCGCCTTCCACGCAGTGGATGTGGTAGCGCATATTGGGGCAGGCGTAGCCGGTGTACGCGAGCACCACCAGCGCCTGCAGCAAGCGGGCCGCCGTCTGCAACACGTATATCCTGTGGAGCCCGCCGCCCGCCTCCGTGTGAGCGCGGAGTTTCTTCACCTTCTCGAAGAGAGCCTTAGCCTGCTCGCCCTCCTTCTTGTCCAGGATGCGATCATCCGATGGCGTCCGCCGGTCCTCGCTCTGCCCCGGGGGGGACCGGTCGGGTGGTGCGGCCTCGCCGGGGTCGACAAACTGGACGGAGGGCCGGGGCGGTCCCGGCGGAGACTCAGGAGGCAGCTTCTCCATGGGGATTTCGCCGGATCTCGGGTCGCTGCGTACGTGGGATTGCGTGGACATCGGGCAACGCGTCATGACGCAGAGAAGCACAGAGACCCATAGAGACTCACAGAGACCCTTAGAGACTCAGAGACCCATAGAGACTCACAGAGACCCGCAGAGACCCACAGAGACCCATAGAGACTCACAGAGACCCATAGAGACTCAGCGACCCATAGAGACTCAATGAGACCCATAGAGACTCACAGAGACCCATGGAGACTCACAGAGATCCTTAGAGACTCAGAGACCCATAGAGACTCACAGAGACCCACAGAGACCCACAGAGACCCATAGAGACCCACAGAGACCCATAGAGACTCACAGATACCCGCAGAGACCCATCGAGACTCACAGAGACCCGTAGAGACCCACAAAGACCCATACAGACTCACAGACACCCACATCACACACGCACACAAAGATCCCCTGTATAGCCTTAACAGACGGTAGGGGCAAGTGCTGTTAGCGAGCACTTATGAAGGCTGGAATTGTACAAGAGGGGGTGGGTGGCCAGCACCACGCCTGGTCGCCTTTGTCTCCCCAGTGGCGATGTTTACCAGGTACTCATTTGAGACCGAGTCGACCTAGGGGAGGCCCAGAACTGGTTCAGATAATCGTCGCTGGTCTTGGCCGTGAGCGGGAATCGAACCTGGGTCGCCGGGTTCATAGCGCAGGTCGCTAACCGCTTCACTACCGCTCCCCACAAAAACAAAACAAAGATCCCCCGTATAGCCTTAACAGACTGTAGGGGCAAGTGCTGTTAGCGAGCACCTATGAAGGCTGGAACGGTATACGAGGGGGTGGGCAGCCAGCACGACGCCCGACCGCCTTTGTCTCCGCAGTGGCAATGTTTTTATTCACCACACCAGGTACTCATTTGAGGCTGAGTCGACCTAGGGGAGGCCCAGGACCGGTTCAGATAATCGTCACTGGTGTTAGCCGTGAGCGGGAATCGAACCCGGGTCGCCAGGTTCATACCACAGCAGCGCGCTAACCGCTATACTACCGCTCCCCACACACACGTCACACACACGTACACACACACGCACACCGCCAACCGTAAGCCAAACCGGTTATGAAACGCAGGGGGATAGAGATATGTGTGAACGGGCTCGCTGCCCCAAACCCACGCGGGGTCCCCCTGCAGGGAGAAAGGGGAACTTTTTAGGTTTTTTTTACTTAAGGGGGGAAGGAATGACAAAGGCAAGAGAGGGGATAATAATAACCAGGAAGGAGCCGTGGGCCGTCTCTCCGTCAGCCCCCTTCTGACCTGCAGCTCCCCGCCGTGGCGGGCAGCGACGGCCGCAACGCCGCCGCCGTTGTTGCCACCCCATCAAGCGCGGCCTCGTGGACGGCGTGCGTGGTCCACTGCGAATCCATGCACTTGCCCAGCACGGACACAAAGTGCTCAATCTTGGAGCTCGTCTCCGGGAACCTGAACCAGAAGTTTCTGGTGGCCGTCAGGACGAGCGTGTGCAGCACCACGAGGTGCGGGAAGTACTTGCTGATCCACAGCACCGCGTTGTCGTAGCAGAACTGGTTGATCAACCGGTACTGGTACTGGTCGAAGCCGGTCTGGGCGAGTGTGGGAACGCACGCAGAAGGGCAAAGTGAACTGGCGTGGCGGTGATATCGCATGCCCCTCCCTTGCAGGGTGACAGAGCTGGCTCAAATCTGGCTTTCGCCTGATGATGCCGGTTGTAATTACTGGCAAAACGTCACCGTACTCAAGATCGTCAATGTTGTGGCTTTGCTCTCCAACACACTGGTGTGCTGTACTAGGATATTACACTATACACTACACTATATATTACACTATACATTACACTATCACGTACATTACAATATACACTACACTATAAATTACACTATACACTACACTACTATACACTACACTATACATTACACTATACACTACACACCACACGTTATACTATACACTACACTATACATTACACTATACACTACACTATATATTACACTACACTATACATTACACTATACACTACACACCACATTATAGTATTCACTACACTATACATTACACTATACATTACACTACACTATACACTACACTATACATTACACTATACATTACACCACACGTTATACATTACACTACACTATACATTACACTATAATGTACATTACAATATACACTGCACTATACATTACACTATACACTACACTACTATAGACACTATACATTACAGTTTAACACGTAGGCTTTCGCGACCAATATTATTCTTAATAAAGGTTTTTGGGTTAGATCGCGTTTATTTTAATGTGTCGTAACCCTCCACCACCCGACACGGCCAATCAGCAAAAAAAAGTGTCACGTTGACAAAAGACAAATAATTCACTACTTTAGCCCACCGGTGTGTTGAAGAGTGAATCCACATTTACAGATTGAGTACGACGTTTCGCTGGTAAATACATCCAGCATCATCGGGCAATTCGCCAGAATGGTAAAGCCCTCGCTTGCTCCCGGTTTTATATAGAGCAGCAGGATGACGTCATCACTTAACTCATATCAGGTGCAGTGATTAGAGGCGGAGGGGGGGGGGTATTGTAATTATATAATCGATTAGTAATCAGTCATTGGTTATGATTAGTAATGAGTTGTAGATTAGTAATTCTTTAAATCAAAATGTAATGTGTATTATTTAATAATACGCTTCCAGGCCGCACTAAGCCGGTAGCTGTCAGAGCGATTAAAGTTATTCTTGTTCCTCTCAATTTCAATGGATTCTCTAATTAGTCTTTGCCAGTAATAATTAGTTTTACACACCACTGCAACATTGTCAAAATCAATTGAGTGTCCTTGTTGACAAGCATGTTCTGCCACTGCCGACAGTTGTGTTTGAGATAATTTAATATTTCTCTGATGTTCTTTTAGTCTTACGCTGATGTTACGTCCCGTCTGCCCAATGTAGCAGCTGCCACATGAACAATTAATCCGATATACACCTTCTGTTGATAGTTTAGGTAATGCGTCTTTAGTGCAAGATACTAGTTTTTGAATATTGTGTACTGTACCAAATCTTACTGTAATGTTTTGCTTTTGCAAAACACGGGCTAATTTGTCAGTTACTCCTGAGATATATGGAATTTTTATTGTTTTAACAATCTGGTCGCTTTCAGCAGTATTGCTTTGCGATCGTGATTTGGCATTCAATGCTCTGTTAATTTGAGCATTATTGTAGCCATTCTGTCGTAGTGCGTCTTTAACGTGTTTAATCTCTCTCACTAGACTCTCACCATCTGACACTGTTTTAGCCCGATGTATGAGCGTCTTGATAAGAGAGGATTTCTGAGCTGGATGATGATGTGATTCTGCATTCAGATAGGCATCAGTGTGCGTTTGCTTTCTGTAAACGCTGTGTGTTATTTTACCGTTTAGGCCATGTCCAAGCAAAATATCTAGGAATGGGAGTGTGTTATTCACCTCCATTTCCATGGTGAACTGGATGGCCGGGTTTTGTGCATTGAGATGATTTAGAAAATCATTAAGTGTATCTTTACCATGTGGCCAGACAACCAAAGTGTCATCCACATATCTAAACCAAAAGGATGGTTTTAATGTGCTCGAGGCAAGTGCTCTTATTTCAAAGTTTTCCATGTACAAATTTGCTATAGCAGGAGATAAAGGAGAACCCATTACTGCTCCTTCTTTTTGTTTAAAGAAATCCCCTCTCCATAAGAAGTAAGTGTTATTTAAACAATGGCCAGCAAGTTTCGGAATATCTTTTGGTAAACCGGTTTTCTTTACTAGTGTATCAAGTAATTTAAGCGATTCGTCCACTGGAACCTTAGTGAATAGAGAAATCACATCAAAACTTACCAGAATATCATCAGGAGTAAGTTTAATATCTTTAATCACATTCACAAGATGTTCTGAATTTTTTATGAATGAAGATGTCTTACCGATGTAGGGCTGTATTTGTTTGGTTATATATTTTGCTAATTGATATGTGGCAGAGCCAATTGTACTGACTATGGGTCGTAATGGGATGCCGATTTTATGAATCTTTGGTAGCCCATAGAGTCTAGGTGGTTTTGAGGCCCTTGGCTTAATTAGGTATTGCTCATTTTTAGGGATTAATGAATTTGCAATTATTGCAGTGGTCTTACGTTCTAAAGTATTAGTTGGATCTCGTTTAATTTTAATGTAAGTACTTTCCTCTAGTAAATTTCTAATTTTATTATCATAATCGGCTCGTGACATCACTACAGTAGTGCGGCCTTTATCAGCTGCTAGGATTTGGATATCCTTATTTACACGCAGCTCTCTTAAGGCTTTTGCCGTTACCCCACGCACAATTCCAGTGGATGAGATAATTGCTGAGGTAGAATCAGCAGTTAGACTCCTTCCACATAATGAGGCAGAGATAACTAGACATGAGGTTGCTAAAATAATTGAGAATAGCAAAGTTCCAAAAGTAAATATTAGCTCTACCAGCGAAACGTCACAGTACTCAAACTGTAAATGTGGATTCACTCTTCAACACACCGGTGGGCTAAAGTAGTGAATTATTTGTCTTTTGTCAACGTGACACTTTTTTTTTGCTGATTGGCCGTGTCGGGTGGTGGAGGGTTACGACACATTTATAAATAAACGCGATCTAACCCAAAAACCTTTATTATGAACTATACATTACACTATACACTACACTATACATGACACTATTCCTCGGGCAACTGTCGGTGGCGCAGCCGGCCTTTCCGCTGGCAACCAGCGGTTCCCCCCCTGCACGGTGGTGCCGAGCCGGCCTGAGGGGGACCCTCACTCACCCTGTGGGCCCTGGGGTTGGCCACGAGGTCCCTCAGCACGGTCTCGTTCCACTCCTTCAGATCCACGTCGAAGCCGCTCGGCACCGGCACACACAGGATGCGCTCGTTCATGTTCTGGGCAGAGGCGGGGGAAGTGGGTACCGCGTGACCATGACGAGCGGTCGTCATGGTCACGTGACGCCGTGTGGTCTCCTGGAGGACGCCGCTCCACGCAGGTGGTTCACTTTGCGCGATTTCCGGTGTGTACGGGGGGGGGGGGGGGGCAACCCATATCGACCCAAGATTCGCTCTCTTTGAGTTAGCTCGCACGCAGAGTTGGAACCCACGACCTCCTGCGTGCCAGCCGAGGTAGTAAACATCTCGCGGCCACCGTGCTGATGAGACATACGCAGAGTCCGAATATGCAGCAGGGGTCGGGGATGGAACCTGTGACCTCCTACATACCAGGCGAGGTCGTCAATATCTCCCGGCCACCGTGGCACGCGGCCACTGCGTGGGCCAGAACGGGCACCGTTCTGGCCCACGCAGTGGCCGCGTGTCGCGGGAAGGCCGGCGAGGCGACCACAGATGTCTCGTGGCCACGGTGAAGCGGAGGAGCGAGCCGGGCGAATCATGGATGGACGCGCTGCGTTGCAAGAATTCCGATTTTATCCGGCGAGCGGCGGGGCGAATTTTCAAAACATTTTCAGTCAGGGTAAATATGACACTTTGGCCGCACGTCCCTGATGGCAGCACCGCATTGACACGGGCAACGCCGCTTCCGTACGCCAGAATTCACACGGGCTCAGTCGTCAGGAGGAGGACCACGTTCGCCACTGCGGTCGACGAGGGGAGCTCACGTTGGTCCCGTTAAGAAACACGATGGGAGTCTGCGGCTTCGCGCGGATTTACGCCAATTGAACAAGGTCTCCGTGGCAGATGCACACCCGCTCCCACGGTTGGACGATTCATTGGATGCCCTGTCGGCCGTGTGGGTTTTCTACCACACTTGACTTGTCGTCGGGGTGTTGGCAGTTGCCTCTTGATGAGAGCTCTAAACCAAATCCTGTGTTCTGAACACCTCGGGCTCTAAATTTTGATTTAAAGCTTTCGTGACTGCAGTGATTCATATTCTTAGCTCTTTCGGTAAAGTCACCACGTTGAAGGGAAAAAATAAAATAATAAAATATATATAAAACAATAAAAATTCTCACGACGTTTCGACCATAACGCACACGGTCATCATCAGTTTGTGTTATGGTCGAAACGTCGTGAGAATTTTTATTGTTTTATATATATTTTATTATTTTATTGTTTCCCTTCAACGTGGTGACTTTACCGAAAGAGCTAAGAACACCTCGGGCTCTGTTCCAGTTTAATTGTCTCCCGATGGGACTCCACTCGGCTCCTGTCACGTTCCAGCGACTCACGCAGCTGGTCCTAGCAGGCCTCCAATGGGACTCGCGCCTCGTTTATTTGGACGACGTGATCGTCTTCGGACGCACGTTCCAGGAGCAGCTGCAGCGGCCGCGATCGGTGTTTGTTCAAAGTTCGGGCGGCCAATCTTACGTTTAAACCACAGTCAAGTGTCACCTCCTGCAGACATCGGTTCGCTACTTGGGGCGCGTCGTCAGCGAGTCCGGGGATAGCCACGGACCCCAACAAAACTGCGTGCGTGCGCAACATGGCCAACCCCCACGTCGGTGGGTGACGTTTGCAGATTTGTCGTATTACCGCCGCTTTGTGCCCAAATTTTGCAAAAATTGCAAACCGCTCCACGCTCTCACCGCGAAAAGGCCAAAGATTTCGGTGGGGGGGGGGGGGGGGGGGGGAGGAGGAGGAAACCTCGTTTGTCGCGCCGGGGGACGGCCTCGTGACTGCTTTGTGATGTCATACACCAACGTGCATTGAGGCGCTTGTAAGGACTGCTTTGATACGTCATACACCAACGTGCATTGAGGCCCTTGTAAGGACTGCTTTGTGACGTCATACACCAACGTGCATTGAGGCCCTTGTAAGGACTGCTTTGTGACGTCATACACCAACGTGCATTGAGGCCCTTATAAGGACTGCTCTGTGACGTCATACACCAACGTGCATTGAGGCCCTTGTAAGGACTGCTTTGTGACGTCATACACCAACGTGCATTGAGGCCCTTGTAAGGACTGCTTTGTGACGTCATACACCAATGTGCATTGAGGCCCTTGTAAGGACTGCTTTGTGACGTCATACACCAACGTGCATTGAGGCCCTTGTAAGGACTGCTTTGTGACGTCATACACCAACGTGCACTGAGGCCCTTATAAGGACTGCTTTGTGACATCATACACAAACACACCACATCCGGGGGCTCGCTCTAATGAGTTGAAAAACATTCCAAGGGGCAATTCAGTGGCCCTGTATCTACACAAGTTTTTTGGGACGACCTCCGGAGGGAGAATACTAGCGGGGGGGGGGGGGGGTGATGACATTAAACGCCAGGAGGTCCGTGGAGCCAGAAGCAAAGATGACCCAAGGCTGGCCCCATGAATCCTCAGGAGGCGTGAAAGTGGCAGGAGCTTTGAGCTTTTGATGCGTCTAAGAGAATTAATGAAGCAAGGTAGAAATTCCTACATAACAGGTACCGTGTACAAACTTCACATTCGTCAGTCCTGCACAGATTCCGAGTAGTACTCGCAATCAGCCTTAAGTTGAGATTTGCAGAAGCAAAAGCTCTGATCAATTAAGAGTTCAGTTATTGCTCAAGCAGATGAAGTATCACTGAAAGTTTTATTTTATTTTTTTTCTTAATATTTCGAGTCACTTGCAGAGTCAAGGACCTCAAGAAGGTGTACTGCACTAAGCTAAGAGTTTGTGATAAAGTTAAGACTCGTGACAAATGGAGACTTGAGTCGCACACCGATAACAAGTGCGCATTAACTTATTGTCCAAGGGATAGGCTGACCGGGTGTTCAACTCCCCCCACTCGCCTCGGCACTCTCGCAGGCCAATGGCAATTTCTGGTTCGGACTGCAGAAGGTTGGAATCGCACCACCAGGAGCAGGCAACAAGCAGCAGTGGTAGTGGTGGATGGATGAATTTTTATTATGAACGGGTGTTGATTTACCTTGCATCAACACCATCATCAACATCACTAACAACATTCAAAACATCATCAACATCAAAATCATTAACACCATCTTCAACATCATCAACATCGTCTCTCTCTCTCTCTGTCTCTTTGTGTCTCTCTGTGTATATCTCCCCGTCTCTTTCCCCATGCCTCTCCCTATCCATCTCTCTGTGTGGCCATGTATCTCTCTGTCTCTCTGTGTCTCCGCTGTCTCTGTGTCTCTGTATTTCTCCCCGTCTCTTTCCCCATGCCTCTCCCTATCCGTCTCTCTGTGTGGCCATGTATCTCTCTGTCTCTCTGTGTCTCCGCTGTCTCTGTGTCTCTCTCTCTATTTCTCCCCATCTCTTTCCCCATGTCTCTCCGTCTCCAACTCTCTCTCTCTGTCTCTCCATGTCTCTCTCTGTCTCCCTGTCTGTGTCTATCTCGCTTTCGGTTTGAGCGGTCGATGTCCCGCAGAGGGCGGTGGAAATGATAAAACATTTTTTTTTTACAATGAACATTAAGTAAATACAATTAAACATCCCGGCATCGAGTTGCAGTTTGTAAAATTAACTCTCAAATTACAATTCTCGCTACGCATCATCACACGGCGGATATACGCACAATCGTCGTGTTCGGCAAAGGAATGACAAATCCTCTTCAAGTCAAAATATTAAAATATGATCGCCCGTGAAGAACCAACGGTGAACGAGCAGTTAACAATGAACACCGGCAAAGTGGCTCAGTGGAAAAGGGGGCCAGATTCAATCCCTGGTTGACTCAGCCCATCATCATCACAACTAAAGTGAGCACCACTCTGCAGGGAAGTGAACCTGCAGTGTGCCACAGCTACCGCGCTCCTTTCCTCTCGCACATCCAGCCCTCTCACTCTCTCCTTCATTTCTACCCCACACCTCTCCCTCCCTCCCCCCCGCTCACCCTCTCCTTACAGCACCCCGTGTCCCTCTCACTCTCTCCCTCCCTCCCTCTCCTGGCCTCCCTCAGGGCTCCTAATCGGAACGAATCTCCCCAACAATCTCAACAGACCCCTCTGCCTCTCTCCCTCTCCACCTCCTCTCCCGCCCTCCCTCTCTCCACCTCCTCTCCCACCCTCCCTCTCTCCACCTCCTCTCCCGCCCTCCCTCTCTCCACCTCCTCTCCCACCCTCCCTCTCTCCACCTCCTCTCCCGCCCTCCCTCTCTCCACCTCCTCTCCCGCCCTCCCTCCCGCTCTCTCCCTGTCGGTTCCTAATCGGCACGACCCTTCCCGGCAGCCCCACGGCGCCCACGGCCGCGGCGATCTGCCGCAGCGTCCGTCTCTGCTCCGCCGCCGCCCCCGTCTGCGGCCGCCCCCCCTCCACGTCCCGGCGGCCTCCCTCTCTCGCTCTCCCCACCTCTCGCCTCGTCGCCTCCACCGCCCTCTCCACCAGTCTGTCGACCGTCCTCTCGTTCTCCCTCGCGGCAATATCAAACCGAGCTTGCTGCGCCTCGGTCCTTGGCCGCGAGTCGCCGACCCTCTGATCCACTCGCCTCCTCGCGTCTGCCTGTCTGTCCCACGCAGCCCTCTCCGCCTCCAGCCTCTCTCTCCCCGCCTCCTCCCTGTTGAGCGTCCTCTCTTCGCCAATGGCTCGTCTCACCCACGCCGTCAGCAGCCTGGCTCTCTCCGCGTTGGGCATCGCCATCTCCACGTCCTCCCCGCGGGGCACCGACCGGTTCACCAGCCTCCTCACGGGCATCTCTCTCCGCCACTGGTCCCTGTCTGCGATGAGCCCCTGTCGGGCCCGCACGCCCGCAGCAGCCGGCTCTCTCCTCGGCTCCCTCTCGACCCCCCTCTCTCCCCTTCGCCTCGCTTCCTCCTCCCTGCCGCGTCCTCTCCTCGCTCCCCCTCCCCTCTCCATGGCGCTCCTCTGGATGCCGCTTCGGCCCACACACGCTTCCCGTACCGTCACAAACATCGCCATCATCGTCAAAACACACGTACACACACAGATACACACGCAGATACATACACACACACACAGACACACACACAGATACACACGCAGACAAACACATATAACAATAACCGCCATTCACCACTAAGTGGCGGTGATGTCACCACGACGCTTGTGCCAGGCAATGTGCACCCTGAGGCCACGTGAAGTGTCGAACGCCCGCTGGCAGGAGGTCACGGGGCAGACCCAGGTGCCACGGGTCGACTGACTGAGATGACTGGCTGATGCACCACCTGTGCCCCCTACTGTGTCAACCCGCTGTGCTTTAGCCACCCGGCGCTCAGCTCGTTGTTGTGAGCGTCGCTCCTCCGCCCTCCGTTGTTGTTGGAGGGCGACTGCCTCCAACTGCCCAGTAGCGTCCTTCACGAGCCTCCTCCACAGAGGCCGATCTTGACACCGCTGGTACCGGTCATCGGCAAGTCCACTCAGCTGTACCACATCACTCCATCTCTTCTCTAGCCCGTGCCGCGCCCGCTTAGCCCCCTCAATCCGGCCGAACAGAAGCTGTTTCGGCATGCAGTGGCTGGGCATGCGGGCTACATGACCCAGCCATCGCAGCCTTGCCCGCCGGAGGAGCTCACCGATGGGACCTTGCCCAGATCTTTCAAGGATTTGTGAGCTCCTCACACAATCCAGTCTGGTTAAACCCAGGATGGATCGCAGGCAGGCCAGCCTAAATGTTTCTAACCGGCGAAGGTGTTCCATTAGGGGGGTCCACGTTTCGCAAGCGTAGAGAAGGGAGGGAATGACCGTGGCCGAGAAGACCTGAAGCTTAGTGCGGAGCGACAGACCAGGTAGCTTCCACACAGTGTTACGCAACCGATGAAAAGATATTGCCGCTCGACTGATTCGGAGTGAGACCTCTGCTGTTAAACTGGAGCCAGTCATAAGCACACTGCCCAGGTATGGGAAACTCTCCACTCTCTCCACAACTGCCCCATCACCGATTGGGAGTTGTGGGGGTGATAGTGTCCGATGGTACAAAATACCCAGGCAGGTGCTTAGTTTTGGTGGGGCTGATGGTAAGGCCCCACCTCTTAGTGGCACGCTCCAGTCCCAGCAGCAGCGTCTCCAACTCCTCCTCTGACTGAGCAGCTATTACCAAATCATCAGCATACATAACGTGGTTGAGCAATAGGGAGCCATCCCTTGACCGCACCCGGGCATCGATCAGCCTTCCATTATATCTGTACCATATGGAGATTCCCCCGGTACAGCTATTGAAGGCTTCACGAACTACGTGGTCAAAATAGATGTTAAATAATGTGGGAGCCAGAGGACACCCCTGTCGCACCCCAAGGTGTACAAAGAATGGCTCTGACTCCCGGCCACGTAGTTTTACCCGGGCCCGCTCACCATCATGAAGGTCCTTAATGATCGTGAGCAGAGGGTCAGGTACTCCAAAAGCACGAAGCACAACCCAGAGCCCAGGCCTACTGATGGTATCATAGGCCTTGACCAGGTCAATAAAGCAGAGATGTCGGTCTTGTTGGAATTCTCTACACCTCTGCTGTAGCAGACGGACAGAAAATATGGCATCTGTGCAGGACCGCCCTATCCTGAAACCGCATTGGGGCTCCGCAAGCCTCTCCTCAGCGTGCCTGGCAAGGCGATGCTGAATAATCCTTGCCAGGACCTTTCCCGGCACACACACACACAAAGACACACACACAGACACACACTCACAGACACACACACAGACACACACAGACAACGCTAACCGCTACACTGCAATGCGTTACGCTTCCACGTGCGAAGATCACGTGACAGATTTGACGTCACAGCACCAACTTACCCGCTTGAGGCTGAGTCGACCTAGGGGAGGGCCCAGGAGTGCTGCTGCTGCTGGTGGTGGTGGCCGTGAGCGGGAATCGAACTCGGCTCGCGCGCTCAACGACTGCGCGTGTTGGGGGAGGGGCGCACCTCTGGTTGGCTGTCCCGGTCACGTGACGCACTTTAACCAATCCGTGCAACGTACATATTTGGGGAGGGGCGCACCGTCTGGTTGGCTGTCCCGATCACGTGACGCACTTTAACCAATCCGTGCAACGTACATTTGTGGGGTGCGCACCTCTGGTTGGCTGTCCCGGTCACGTGACGCACGTTAACCAATCCGTGCAACTTACATTTTTTGTGAGGGGCGCACCCTCTGGTTGGCTGTCCCGGTCACGTGACGCGCTTTAACCAATCCGTGCAACGTACACGTTTGGTGAGGGGCGCACGCTCTGGGTTGGCTGCTTGGTCCCGGTCACGTGACGCACTTCAACCAATCCGTGCAGCGTTAGCAGCAGTAACGACAGAGCTGGGTGTTTGTATTATGGCTGTTACACATTTCACTTTTGTAGAGTGGCAATGTCGTTAGTGCAAGGCAGAGTTGGTAGTTAATTGTAGTGTAATTATTTTTTACAATTTTGTACAAGTAACATGATAAAGCGTTATCTTTCAGCTAACCAGAGTTTTGATGAGTGTTAAGAGATTCACATTTGTATGCAGCCTCTGGCAAAGAGGCATCTGTGGGGGGCTAATGCCCCCCTCCCCACTACGTGGGGGGGGCTGATCTCCCCCTCTCCCCTCCCCATTACTTGAGGGGGGGCTGATCTCCCCCTCCCCACTACGTGTGGGGGGGGGGGCTGATCTCCCCCCTCCCCACTACGAGGAGGGGGGGGGCTGATCTCCCCCTCCCCACTACGTGTGGGGGGGGGGCTGATCTCCCCCTCCCCGCGAGCGGGTGGGGTGTGACGTCAGTGCCCCCCACTCACGGCTGTTTAAGAGTTAATGATTTATACTAAGCCGTCGTGTCAACAAGGCTGTGCCACAACACGTATTGAGTACAATTCTTAAAGATTGTGTGTCTTGTGTGTGTGCGTTGTTCCTCAAGGCTGGGATTTAGAATGAAACCGTGCGAATTTTCACCGTGTTCATAGTGTCATCTTCATTGGAAGCTTCCTTCATTAACAGAACTTCCCAGCTTGTTGAGAGAAACATCAAATAGTCCACTCAACACAAATACAGTTGTGTAACTTTAATAACGCACGTTGATATTTAGCGCCTGCTAATGATGCCAGGGCTGGGCACACAGGAAGGAGTTTGTGCAACAGCGTTGTGTAACAGTCTGAATGTGTACATCATAGCCTGTCAAAGACTTGGTGGTGGTGATGGTGGTGAGGGTGGTGGTGGTGAGGGTGGTGAGGGTGGTGGTGGTGATGGTGGTGTAGGTGATGATGGTGGTGGTGATGATGATGGTGGTGAGGGTGGTGGTGGTGGTGAGGGTGGTGGTGATGGTGGTGAGGGTGGTGGTGGTGAGGGTGGTGGTGGTGAGGGTGGTGGTGGTGGTGATGGTGGTGAGGGTGATGGTGAGGGTGGTGGTGATGGTGGTGGTGATGGTGGTGAGGGTGGTGAGGGTGGTGGTGGTGAGGGTGGTGGTGGTGATGGTGGTGATGGTGGTGAGGGTGATGGTGGTGGTGATGGTGGTGGTGGTGAGGGTGGTGGTGATGGTGGTGAGGGTGGTGGTGATGGTGGTGGTGAGGGTGGTGGTGATGGTGGTGGTGATGGTGGTGGTGGTGAGGGTGGTGGTAGTGATGGTGGTGATGGTGGTGAGGGTGGTGGTGATGGTGATGGTGGTGATGGTGGTGGTGAGGGTGATGGTGAGGGTGATGGTGGTGATGGTGGTGGTGGTGATGGTGGTGGTGGTGATGGTGGTGGTGAGGGTGGTGGTGATGGTGGTGGTGGTGATGGTGGTGGTGAGGGTGGTAGTAGTGATGATGGTGGTGGTGGTGATGGTGGTGGTGATGGTGGTGGTGAGGGTGGTGGTGGTGATGGTGGTGAGGGTGGTGAGGATGGTGGTGATGGTGGTGGTGGTGAGGGTGGTGGTGATGGTGATGATGATGGTGGTGGTGGTGGTGAGGGTGGTGGTGATGGTGGTGATGGTGATGATGATGGTGGTGGTGGTGATGGTGGTGAGGGTGATGGTGGTGGTGATGATGGTGGTGGTGATGATGATGGTGATGGTGGTGATGATGATGGTGATGATGATGGTGGTGGTGGTGATGGTGGTGATGGTGGTGCTGGCAAGGGGGTTGACAGGCCTCATCAACATCTGGGTCTATGCAGGAGGACCATAAACCCCTCACGCAGACTCTGGGTCATCCTCGCCGCGGCTACAGTCAAAACCACCCAACACAAAGGTGATCACTGCATCATCATCATCATAATTACAACAATAATAATAACAATAATAATAACAATAATAGGGGTGGGGGGGTTCCCTTTTTTTTCTGGCAACAAAACTGAAACCTTTTTACAAGGATTCATGTCGCTACATTAACCACAATACCTGCAGTCAAAATGTAAACAAAACACAAACACTATGATAATATTTACGTGGCATTGTCCTTCAAACTGATTGGTCCACACCTGATGATGATTGCTTCTTGTGTTGCAGTCGAAACGTCGTGAGAATTTTATTGTTTTATATTTTTATTATTTTATTGTTTCCCTTCTACGTGGTGTACACAAACAGTGTGATTAACATGGTGTACACACACAGTGTGATTAACATGGTGTACACACACAGTGTGATTAACATAGGTGTACACACACAGTGTGATTAACATGGTGTACACACAGTGTGATTAACATAGGTGTACACACACACAGTGTGATTAACATAGGGGTACACACACAGTGTGATTAACATAGTGTATACACACAGTGTGATTAACATAGGTGTACACACACAGTGTGATTAACATAGGTGTACACAGACACACAGTGTTACTATTATGATAGGCTCATCTTGCCTTAGCAGTAGCGTGACATCAGACGCTGAGTTTGTATTGTATTTTTCTAAAGCAGCTTTGATTTAGCCCAGCTAATTGACCCCGCGGTGTGAAAGTGGTAACTCTACATGTGTGGCTTGCCAGAGGCAGTCTTCACTGCAGTGAGCATTGGTGATGATACCACACTGA